GACTCGTATTTATGACGGGCGCAGCATCCTGGGGGGGTCACCTGATCCCCTTTTGCGACCTTCTGACAAGCCAAGTCCATGGAGAAGCCAGATTCACTTAGCAATCGTGTCACTAACTTAGCGACGGCAGTGATTCGCTTAAGAAACGTGGCCAGCAAAGTCATAAAATGGGGCAAAACACAGGAACTGTCTTGCTTAGCAACATAAATTTGGGGCTCGCTTGTGGGTCGTAAGTCAAGGGCTGGCGCGCCCACCGGGTGTCTATGTGTGTAAAGGCTGTTGCAACCCCCATCCAGCTCTCTCTTGGGGCAGGGGAGGGTCTACGGGGGTCTCTTCTGCTTTCTGCTTTCCCGTCTTGCTTTGGGGCTCAGCTCCACAAGCCACACCTGTGCCAAGAGCCCTTTTGGGGAAGGGGAGGGGGCCGATGGGGAGGAGCCATGGGGAAAGCTGTCTGGGATTCCTTTAATGGGGAGGGGGTCTCTCTTGCATCCCCACAGGACTCTGGATGACTCCCCTCAAAGCTTAGATGGAGTTAAGCTTCTTCTTCTTCTTCTTCTTCTTCTTCTTCTTCTTCTTCTTCTTCTTCTTCTTCTTCTTCTTCTTCTCTTCTTATCTTTCTTCTTCTTCTTCTTCTTTCTTCTTCTTCTTCTTCTTCTTCTTCTTCTTCTTCTTCTTCTTCTTCTTCTTCTTCTTCTCTCTTCTTCTTCTTCTTCTTCTTCTTCTTCTTCTTCTCCTCCTCCTTCTTCTTCTTCTTCTTCTTCTTCTTCTTCTTCCTCCTCCTTCCTCCTCCTCCTTCTTCTTCTCTTCTCTCCTCCTCCTCCTCCTCCTCCTCTCCTTTTTCTCCTATCTCCTCCTCTTCCTATCCTATCTGCCATATCCGTCATGGGACGTTGGTGACCATGTTGGCGATCCCATTTTTATCAACAGCCGCACGAAAAAGGGCTGCTGAGTTTTGTCCACACCAATCCCGTAGATTTTGAAGCCATGCTCATCTTCTGCCTGGACCTCGTTTGCCTTCAATTTTCCCCTGGAGGATTAAGTGAAGGTGTCAGGTTTCGAGGTCGTCTCAAATAAATTGCATTTCAAACGAAGTCTTTGAAGAAAAACTCCCATTTATTAAGCACGACATTCTAACTCCGACTCCATCGAAGCCAACACTGACTTCCTGACCCAAAACCCTCCCTTTCCTTTCCCCACTCCCCTGCACTCATTGGCCATCTTCCAAGTCACTCTACCCCTAATCTACTGCTCCAGCTCAAAGGAATTTCCCCCCTCCCCATCCCATCTCCTAGGGGATATTATCTCCAGGGAAAATAAGTAGGTGAAAAGTCAAACGTCCCTTTCCAGACGCCTCCGCTTCTCCTTCTTATGTCAGCACTAGAGTAAATGCAGCTTGAAGTGCTGACAGAAGGATGCCGTATTTTTCCAGATGTCTCATCCCATGTCCGAAATATTCTAACCTTAGCTTTTTTTAATGGTTTTGATGATTTCCCAGGCGGCTTATCACCTCCTCATTTCTGATTTTGTCAACCCGGCTTATACGTAACAGCCGCCTGTCAATCCACGTTTCAAATGCTTCTCGTCTCTTCAAGTGGCTTTCTGTCGGAGGCCAACTCTCCACTCCGTAGAGCAGGATAGAAAAGATGCAACATCTGACAAGCCTGATTTTTCAATCTTAGGCTGATGTCATGACTGCAGAGGACATTTTTCATTTTGATGGATGCTGGTTGAGCTTTCTCTATCCTTGTCTTTACTTCAAGGGTCGTGTCCCAGCTTTCATGTAAATTGGAACTGAGGGACATGATCCTTTCAACTTTTTCTAGTGGTTTTCCTTCCGAATTTATCGGTGGTCAATTAATGGGTTGTTTGCTGAAGATCACGATCTTGGGTCTTGAGCCGTTAAGCTTCGAGCCGTATTTTTCAGGTATTTCTGAGGCGCTGTGGATGAGGAGCTGAAGTCTTCATGCTTACTGGCGAGCAGAACTGTGTCATCAGCATATCTTAAATGGTTGATCCGAACACCGTTTACTTTGAGGGCAGCATCGATGTTTTCCAGTGCTTCATTGAAAATGGATGGCAACGACTGCAATTTTATGACCTGTGGACATCAACTCCCAGAATTCCCCAGCCAGCCATGCTGGCTGGGGAATTCTGGGAGTTGTAGTCCATAGGTCGTAAAATTGCCCACATCTTGAATAAGGTGTGGTGGGGTGGGGAAGTTACAAAGGGCTTTGGGTTAAACAGAAAAAAGGGGAAATTCACCCTGAAAGAAGCCTGGCCAAAGCAGGGTGAGGGCCAAGAGAGCAACATGGAGATGGCCACCAAAGAGCCCTTTCACTCAAATGTGTCCCCAGGAGCTTTTTTTCCAAAGGCAACTGGACGTTCTTGGGTGTTTTTTTTTTTTTCCTCAAAGCGATCCCATTTTTATCAACAGCCGCACGAAAAAGGGCTGCTGAGTTTTGTCCACACCAATCCCGTAGATTTTGAAGCCATGCTCATCTTCTGCCTGGACCTCGTTTGCCTTCAATTTTCCCCTGGAGGATTAAGTGAAGGTGTCAGGTTTCGAGGTCGTCTCAAATAAATTGCATTTCAAACGAAGTCTTTGAAGAAAAACTCCCATTTATTAAGCACGACATTCTAACTCCGACTCCATCGAAGCCAACACTGACTTCCTGACCCAAAACCCTCCCTTTCCTTTCCCCACTCCCCTGCACTCATTGGCCATCTTCCAAGTCACTCTACCCCTAATCTACTGCTCCAGCTCAAAGGAATTTCCCCCCTCCCATCCCATCTCCTAGGGGATATTATCTCCAGGGAAAATAAGTAGGTGAAAAGTCAAACGTCCCTTTCCAGACGCCTCCGCTTCTCCTTCTTATGTCAGCACTAGAGTAAATGCAGCTTGAAGTGCTGACAGAAGGATGCCGTATTTTTCCAGATGTCTCATCCCATGTCCGAAATATTCTAACCTTAGCTTTTTTAATGGTTTTGATGATTTCCCAGGCGGCTTATCACCTCCTCGTTTCTGATTTTGTCAACCCGGCTTATACGTAACAGCCGCCTGTAAATCCATGTTTCAAATGCTTCTCGTCTCTTCAAGTGGCTTTCTGTCGGAGGCCAACTCTCCACTCCGTAGAGCAGGATAGAAAAGATGCAACATCTGACAAGCCTGATTTTTCAATCTTAGGCTGATGTCATGACTGCAGAGGACATTTTTCATTTTGATGGATGCTGGTTGAGCTTTCTCTATCCTTGTCTTTACTTCAAGGGGTCGTGTCCCAGCTTTCATGTAAATTGGAACTGAGGGACATGATCCTTTCAACTTTTTCTAGTGGTTTTCCTTCCGAATTTATCGGTGGTCAATTAATGGGTTGTTTGCTGAAGATCACGATCTTGGGTCTTGAGCCGTTAAGCTTCGAGCCGTATTTTTCAGGTATTTCTGAGGCGCTGTGGATGAGGAGCTGAAGGTCTTCATGCTTACTGGCGAGCAGAACTGTGTCATCAGCATATCTTAAATGGTTGATCCGAACACCGTTTACTTTGAGGGCAGCATCGATGTTTTCCAGTGCTTCATTGAAAATGGATGGCAACGACTGCAATTTTATGACCTGTGGACATCAACTCCCAGAATTCCCCAGCCAGCCATGCTGGCTGGGGAATTCTGGGAGTTGTAGTCCATAGGTCGTAAAATTGCCCACATCTTGAATAAGGTGTGGTGGGGTGGGGGAAGTTACAAAGGGCTTTGGGTTAAACAGAAAAAAGGGGGAAATTCACCCTGAAAGAAGCCTGGGCCAAAGCAGGGTGAGGGCCAAGAGAGCAACATGGAGATGGCCACCAAAGAGCCCTTTCACTCAAAGGTGTCCCCCAGGAGCTTTTTTTCCAAAAGGCAACTGGACGTTCTTGGGGTGTTTTTTTTTTCCTCAAAAATGTTTCGCTTCTTTGGTTTTGATTGAAGTTCTGCGTTGGACTAGAAGACCTCCAAGGTCCCTTCCAGCTCTATTCTGATTGATTGCTGGGAACTAAGAAGCCTTCCTTCCACTGAGCTGCATGCCTTACTTCCTGCATTTCTCCACGCCCTGTCCTCTTTTCTTTCTTTCTTCTTCTTCCTTCTTCCCTTCCTCCCATTTCCTTCCTTCCTTCCTCCCACCTCCCTTTCCCTCCTTCCCCCTTCCTTCCTCTCACCTCCCTTTCCTGTCTTCCCTCCTTCCTTCCTCCCATTTTTCTTTCCTTCCTTCCTCCCACCTCCCTCCCTTTCTCTCCTTCCCCTTCCTTCCTCCCTCCCTTTCCCATCTTCCCTTTTTCTTCCTTCTTTCCTTCCATTTCTTTCTTTCCTTCCTTCCTTCCTCCCATTTCCTTCCTTCCTCCCACCTCCCTCCCTTTCTCTCCTTCCCCCTTCCTTCCTTCCTACCTCCCTTTCCCATCTTCCCTCCTTCTTCATTCCTTCCTTCCTTCCTCCCATTTCTTTCTTTCCTTTCTTCCTCCCATTTCCTTCCTTCCTCCCACCTCCCTCCTTTTCCCTCTTTCCCTCCTTCTTCCTTCCTTCCTTCCTTCCTTCCTTCCTTCCTCCCTTCCTTCCTTCCTTCCTCCTTCCTTCCAACCCATACCAAGAGTCAGTTTTCAAAATTCAAAAGCTGAAGTTTCTTCGGTTCTGACTGAAGCAGCTTCTTGGATGAGAAGCGAACGTTTTCAAGGAAAAAATAAATAAACAGGAAAGTCCAGTTGCTTTTTGGAAAAAGCACCTTTGGGACAACCATGACCTGGATGATGGAGAATTGACTCAAATTGACATTTGAATCCAAGGAGATTTTTTTTAGCGATGAAGAGAGAGAGGGGGATCGCTCGAAACCTGAGAGCGTGAGAAAGAGAGAAATCTGAGTGTTCAGATCTCCATTTTGCCAAGATCCTTGAACCGAGGGAGGGAAGGGCTGGCAAAGCACAGGGATTGCAAACTGGCTCTTTGTGCAAAATTGGGCCTCCGGGAAAGGAGGACATTTGTGCAGCTGGACGGTGTCAAATCTCCACTTTTATTTTCCTGCATGCAAAACCTTTGAACAAAAAAGCTCTTTGTGTTGGAAATGTCTTTCCCGAGGCCCCTTTGGCACAGCCGCCCACCCCTGGCTGCTGTCCCGGACGAAGCGTTCTCACGCCTGGATTCCGGTGCTTCCCTGCCGGGGAGAAGAGGGGCAGGTTGGATGTGGCTCACTTGCTGGTTTTGGGTGCCGGTTCTCTCACCAAATTCAGGAGTTTGTCCAGTTTTGTGATCTCCACTTCGGGCCCTTTCTGGACCTCCTGGCCCTTTTTCTCCTGCAACGAGACAAACACAAAATTGTCAGCGTCTCGTTCCCCGTTTGCAAAGACGACGAGGGACGATTGTGCAAAGTTGGCATCACAGTGTGTGTGTGTTTGTGTGTGTGTGTTGGTCGATGGAGGAAGATAAAGAGGAGGCACCACAACGACAACAGGACTGGATTCAACGTGGTTCACCTGGTTAGGGAATCAACTCCATGGATCGGTTTGTGCAGGACTGCCGAGTGATGAATTGGGCTAAATTGACACAATCGGTGAAACCGCAATAAAGAAGGAGACACAAGAAATGACAGCCAGAATTCTCCACCCTCCAGAAATAACAACAGCCACACATCTAACAACAACAATAGCCACAGCCACCCTCTGCCAGGGATTATCCAGGACAGAAGGATGAAAGAATCAATCTAATTTACAAAATTCACTGTAACGATTGCAACCGATCCTACGTGGGATAAACCTCACGTCAATTAAAAACCGGGATCCACAAACACCAGCTGGCAGTCAAACGCCAGGATCGCAAAGCCTTAATTTCCACTCACACTGACACCAAACGGCACCAGTTCAGTTGCAACACAAAAATCATCGGCCACTCTACCACCTGCCACGCTCGTGAGTTCATCGAAGCCTCCACAAACCGTCCCATCCACAGAGACACTGACCGACAACCAGCCTTCGAGCCCCTCAGAACCCAAATCAACCACACAGCCAACGAGAGATGGCACCGACCCTCAACCAACCCACACGATTCCCCCACCCCACACCAGCACTTCAACTCCCAATGACCCTCACCTGATGTGACCTCCCCATCACAAGACCCTCACCTGACATGATCTCTCCACCACCAGATCTACAAGGCCCTTACAAGCAGAAGAAGATCGACACTCATGTTCTCTAAACTCCGCTGAAGATGTTACCTGGCCTGGTAACGAAATGGTCGGAAACCAACCCACAAACTCATAGAACCAACCTCCACCCTCATCCTCCACCTGAGCTACAGATATTCACTACCATCACAAACCACAATAAAGGTTAACACCAGCCCAGTTTCCCCCTCTTTCATTCCTACCTGCCCCCCCCCCCACCAGGAGCCATAGCATGTGGGGCAGCTGTTCCATGGAGGCTCCACATCAGGAGGGCTTGTTCAGCCACACGAATCAGCCACACGAATGGATGGGAACTAATTAAGGAGAGAAGCAACCTGGAATTAAGGAGAAACTTCCTAACAGTGAGGACAGTTAACCAGGGGAACAGAAGTTGCCTCCAGAACTTGTGGATGCTCCATCCCTGGAGGTTTTAAAAAAGAGATTAGACAGCCATTTGTCTGGAATCGTCTGGGGCTGTGATGGTGAACCCGTGGCACACAGAGTCATCTCTGTGGGCATGCGCACTGTCGCCAGTGGCTCTTCTGGTTTCCGGCAGGCTGTCTTTGTGGGCGCCAGCTTTGCTGGCTGAGAAATTTGGGAGTTGAAGTCCACAAGCCTTAAAGTTGCCAAGGTTGGAGACCCCTGATGTAAAGTATTAGTGCCACTTTATAAAGCCTTAGTGAGGCCACACCTGGAATGCTGCATCCAGTTTTGGTCCCCACACTACAAAAAAGAGGTTGAGACTTTGGAAAAAGTGCAAAGAAGAGCAACTAAGATGATTAAAGGCCTGGAGACTAAAACGTATGAAGAACAGCTGCAGGATTTGGGTTTGGCTAGTCTACAGAAAAGAGGAACTGGGAATGACATGAGAGCAGTCTTCCAGTATTTGAGGGGCTGCCCTAAAGAGGAGGGGGTCAGTTTATTTTCCAAAACACCAGAAGGCACGAAGAGAAACAATGGGTGGAAACTAACCAAGGAGAGAAGCAACTTAGAACTAAGGAGAAATTTCCTGATAGTGAGAACAATCAATCAGTGGAACAACTTGCCTCCAGAAGTTGTGAATGCTCCAACACTGGAAGTTTTTAAGAAGATGTTGGATAACCATTTGTCTGAAGTGGTGTAGGGTTTCCTGCCTGGGCAGGGGGTTGGACTAGAAGACCTCCAAGGTCCCTTCCAACTCTATTCTGATTGATTGCTGGAAACTAAGCAGCCTTCCTTCCACTGAGTTGCATTCGTTACTTCCTGCATTTCTCCAGGCACACACCATCCCTCCTCCTTTCTCCTTCCTTTCTTCCTTCCTTCCTTCCTCCCTCCCTCCCTCCCTCCCTTCCCAATCCATACCAAGGGCTAGTTTTCAAAATTCAAAAGCTGGAAACTGGACTCAGCCATATCTGAGAGAGGGATGTTATTCTCCCCTTTTGCCATCCTTTTTTCCCCCCAATTCCGCAACATACCCCCGAGGGCAGCCTATTTGGAGAACGTGCTCCTCTTGATTACCAGAGCATATAATTTGATGCCACGTGATGAGCGGATATGCAGAGACAAAAAAGGAATAGGTTCGCCATCATGGGTATAGGGTCTCCTGCCTGAGCAGGGGGTTGGACTAGAAGACCTCTAAGGTCCCTTCCAACTCTGGTTATTCTGTGAAGATGAGATGAACAGCAACCAATTTCTCTGCAACCAATCATCTCCGAGGCCAAGAGCTCCATGAATCCAAGCATTGCTGTAATGGAATGCTAAAACCTCCTCAAAATTCAAGACAAAGGAGTCAGCATCCTATGGCGGCTCTTGATTGCAATCAAGGGAAAGCAAAGAATTCTTGAGTCCTCCTCTCCACACACCTCCCTCCCTTCTAGCATTGATGATGTTACCTAGTAGGGTCACGAAACGCCTGTAAGAAAACAACCAAGCCCAGAGAGCACCAAGAACCCCATAGTCCTCCTCCTCCTCCTCCTCTCTATAAACGCCACTCCCTTCTAGCACTGATAAGGTTACCTATTTGGGTCATGAAACATCTGCAAGAAAACCACCAAGCTCAGAAAGCGCCAGGCGCCCCACAGTTCAACCCTGAGTTACAAACACTCTCTTCCACCACTAAATGTACAATACGAACATCTTTGCTGGGCAGACCCCCACAGCTTCAGCCCCCCGCCTCACAACGTCTCCCGCCTTTGCCACAGATGGCAACTCACAGGACACGCCCGGGTGAACTGGAAATGCAGCCGATTGGAGAAATGTGCCAGCCAGCGGGAAGCGCTTGGCATCTGTGCAGAGTGATTAGCACACGCTGTTCAATTAATGTGCCAGATATCAAAGGCCGGGTGACTTTCGGCTCACCCTCTCCCCTTCCCCTCCCCCTTGGCCCTTCCCCTCCCCAGGTTGGCAACGATGGCACGTCCTCACCAGCTCCTACTCAAGGGGAGAGGAAGAGTAGTTATTATTTATTATTTATTATTTTATTGTCGTTGTTTTAACTGGGCTTTAATTACGTTACCTTTTTATTATTTATGTTTTAACCTGTGTTCGCCGCCCTGAGTCCTTAGGGAGAAGGGCGGCATGTAAATTTTTGGAAAGAAGAAAGAAAGAAAGAAAGAAAGAAAGAAAGAAAGAAAGAAAGAAAGAAAGAAAGAAAGAAAGAAAGAAAGAAATAGTGGCTGTGATCTGGGCCCGTTGTGGCTTTTTCTGCAGCCTTTTGTGGCTGGTAGGTACTTTAACTTAAACATACAAAGAACGGTTGCAGGAACTGGGTTTTGCTAATCTAGTGCAAAGAAGGACCAGGGGAGATATGATACCTGTCTTCCAATATTTGAGGGGCTGCCCCAAAGAAGAGGGAGTCAAGCTCTTCTCCAAAGCACCAGAAGGCAGGACAAGAAGCAACGGATGGAAACTAATCAAGGAGAGAAGCAACCTGGAATTCAGTGGTGCTATTCAGCCGGTTCTCACCGGTTTGGGCAAATCGGTAGTGGCGACCTGCAGGACAGCTATGCTGTTCTATTTAGCCACGTTTTCTAAGCCATGCACATGCGTGCAAGTCGCACACGTGAGCAAAGTGCACGCACAGAAGGCATTTTCGGCGCGCGGTGAACCGGTGGTAAAATTACCCTGTTTCCCTGAAAATAAGACATCCCCTGATAATAAGCCCTCCCTGAAAATATTTAAATGCAGAGCTGGAAATCCGGTAAGACGGCAAGAGGAGCCCCATCTTGCTCCCCAGGCCCCCAAATAATAAGACCTCCCTGAAAATAAGGCCAAGCACTTATTTCAGGGTTCAAAAAAATATAAGACAGGGTCTTATTTTCGGAGAAACACGCGTCTGCTGGAATTAAGGAGAAACTTCTTAACAATGAGAACAATTAACCAGTGGAATGGAAGTTGCCTTCAGAAGTGGTGGGAGCTTCATCACTGGAGGCTTTCAAGAAGAGACTGGACTGCCATTTGTCAGAGATGGTGTAGGGTCTCCTGCTTGGGTGGGGGTTGGACTAGAAGACCTCCAAGGTCCCTTCCAGCTCTATTCTGATTGATTAAGGGTGGCTTGACCTGGATGGAAGCATCGAGTGAACCGGCCACGCCATTAACATGCAGCCTGTCATTCTGCCTCCGCCTTCCGTCCGCCTTAATGGAGCAGCTATTAAACATCTGGGGCCACTTAATTGTTCCAATGGGGGCTGTTATCCAGCCAAGGGGGCGGACCAGATTTCTGACGCTCGGCTGAGAACACACACGTACACCGAGTCCCAACTGCTCTCTTCTCCTCCTTTCCCGAGGATCTCTTCCTCTGCACGGACAGAGCCTGGCAGCCCCTGGACATGATCGGCGGCTAATTGGAAAGGGTTTCTGGCCCCGAGCTGCCAAACTGTGAATCCAAAATTTGCTTTTTTTTTTTTTCCTCCTGGCAACAGCTGAACGAGGGGCGGTTGGGGAAACGCTGGGCTGATCACTCAGCTCCGGCCCTGATCCTCTCTGCTCAGCACACGCTTCTCCTGGACTCGGGCAGATCAAACTGAGCTCCCCAGTTCATCCGACCATCCATCCATCCATCTCTCTTTCTCATTCTTTCTCTTTCTCCCTTTTATTCGCTCTCTTTCCTATTCTCTCTCTCCTGTTTCTCCTTCTCTCTCCTTCTCTTTCTATCTT